CGTGCGCGCCGCCGCGGGCGCGGCGGCGGCGGCGCCGTCGTGTGGAGAACAGCTTCCGTCTTGGCCCGGCCCTGTGCGTGGCGGTTTAACAGCGCCAGCAATGTGTTAAGCGCAGCGTCAGAGCGGAATATACATATACGTATATATATATATATGTATGTGTGTATATATATATGTATGTATATATATGTGGGGGTGTATTTTTATACATATAAATATATATATAATATATATATTAAAAAGAGCTCTAAAAACGGCAGATATTTTGTACAGCCACACTTTATAAAACTAGTGAGGAAGGTAAATGATGGGATGTCTCTTTTTCGGGAAGCACTTAAGACGTTAAAATAGGTATTCAAGAGTGTGGGGACTTCCTCTGGTAGGAATTGCAAAGTGAGGAAGAGGAAGGGTTCAAAAGCTGGACTGAAAAGATTTGCAGCGGTGATTATGTGATTAAAAAAGGGCATTATAAAGGAAAGTAAGTGTCAGTAGGTATGGCCATTTCTGCAAAGACACTAAAGCAAAAAGAGCCCTGCTGCTGAAGTTTGTCTCCTTATCAAAGTCTTTTGTCTGTAATAATTGACTCTAAGGCTTTGATTTTTTTGAGTGTGTGCTATGATTATGGTTACTGATAGTAGCACATGACTGACCAGAAGTAACATGGTTTATTCCAAAATAACAAAAATGGGAAATAACGTGATCTGTTGTTTTCAGAAATTATATTTTTTTAAGATGAGACAACTTAAAAGATCAAATTATTGAAAATAAATTAATAGAGACATAAGAAATATCCCGGAAGGAAACTCATCTAGTGCTTGCCTTTTAGGCATCAATCCAGCAGAGTAGTGAAGCACTTAACAGTGTGCTGCATCCGGATTTTACTAAAAAGACTAGATGTATGTGGATAATATGTTCTTTCTTCATCAGCTGGTGGATGTGCTTCCAAACTTTTGGTAATAGAAACTGCCATTGCTGGAATGAGGTTGGAATCCCCTTTTAGCTGAAGTACAAGCGCTGTGGCCCTGCCGTGATGTATCTTAATGTTGTGCAACTTCATTTTGTCAGAACTAAAAACCATGTACTTCATGCAGAACACGCACAGCCTCTGGCAACATTTTTTAACACGATGAGTTAAAAAAACGCTGCAAGAATAAAGATTGTTTTGCCCTGGCACATCTTATTTTCTTGCCATATGTGAACGTCTGCATTGAGCCAAAACAGTCCATCATCCCAATGGTTAAGACACCCAAGCTTCCACAGCCAGGAAAAGCAGTGATAGCATATGGCCAGTTGGACTTCTAGCCATGCTTGGGTAACTGCAGCGCTGGCCTTTGGCAGAAGCCCTGAGTCAGGCTTGAATGCATGTCCCTGGTATACAGAACATCTTAACTGTTCTTCCCCAGTACTCTTTTACTGACAGAAATGCTAGTTAAGCAGCTGCTTTGCAAAAATAGTTATAAGTAATTTTATCATGGTAGCCTAACCTTCTTCCCTGCTGTTCATTATCAAATGAGCAACTCGGTCGATTGCTTCATACTACCAGGTTAAAAACTTCCAAAAAGCTACTGTGCCAGTCAAGATCCCTAGAATGAGGATTATGTTCTGGCTCTGCTCCCTTGCTGTGCTTACATAGCCTCTTTCCTGGTGTAGAGGAATGCAGTGGTAAAAAGCTTATCTGTGCCAGTTCTCTGGTCCACAAGAATTTTGCTTTAAAATAAAATTGTAATATTCTGTGACAAGAGACTTGGCTGTTTGCAAAAGCCAGGTCTAACTTGTACAAAATTAGATATTCTGTGGAGCGAAGGTCTTGTCATTCGTTTGAACTGTGAAGTTCCTGGCATGCATTTGACACTGATAACGAAGCAATGGTTAGCCCTGCTATATGTGTAGAATATGATATTCTATAAATAACACTAGCAGAAAATACACATAGCACTTAATTTTCGGGGGAAAATAGATTAAATGTTCAAGCAGTTATAACCAGTATAGAGCTATTTACCCCTTCCCCACCTCCAGTTTAATAAAGGCAGGTTAAAATCTGCAAGCTGAAAAATAAACATCCTGACGCACACACTTAGTGTTCAAATAGCATCCGCGTATAATGAAATGATACAGGTTCCAGAGTGCTTGGATACTGTCATTTCCTCATAATTATATGCCCCTTAGCAGATGTGGCAAACATACTGATTATTCTTTCTAGCAGGCTGCATCTTGTCACGTTGTCTAACATGGGGACATCGCAAGGATAAGGGGAAAATTTGCTTAATGCTGTGGATGACCAGCATTCATTAAGAAATTATGAGATGTCGGTCTCCAAGCAGAAGTCAATCAGAGCGAGATCAAACTGCCGTCCCATCTATGTGTTCATCGCTGCTGGAGCAGATTTAAACAACAAAAAAGAAAAAACCCCACTGAAATATCGATGGAGCCTGCGTGAATATGTCTGCCTGTTGCTTGTCATTAATTTGTAATTATTCTGAAGCTATTATTGCTAGACTCAAGCTTTTCCTATGCCAATGATGCACTTTAATGATGGCATTTTAGTTTATTATTGTAATCAGAGAAGCAAGCCCACGTCAGGGAATTAATTGTTGCCTTAAATGCAGAATCTGACTTGGGATTTCAGAATCTAATTGCCAGATGAATTAATGAACAACATGAATTTCTGTGGCAGTCTCTGTCTGGGGAGTTACTTCTCTTCTATTTGTCTATATGTTTGTTTCGTGTTTTTCCCGTCAGAATGACTGTTTGGATGCATCTAATCTCCAAAACCCCTATATTTGAGGGCTAGCCAACTGTTTAAGACAGGAAGAGCAATTTTGTTCTCTCTGGTCCCCAAAGAATACAGTGGAAGGTGCCATTGTTTAGACGTTTTAAAATAAAAGTTGACAAATTCAGCTTTGTATACAGCTGGAGGGTTCAATTATATGGGCTGGCAAAACAGTTGTTGTTTCTCACCTGTGACTGTTACATACAGTCTTTCTGAAAGTCGGACTGCCTTGCTTCCCGACTGACCCGATCTGCACCGCAGCCTGTACGTGATGGGTCGAGCACCCTGTCCTTATCAGCTGCGCTACTGATAGCGTGGGGTTATTGAGAGCGCTGCAGTGGAAGGTGTAATATCTCTGGGATGCAAAAAGCTTAAAAGCACATGGAGCAATCAAAGGGATTAAAATATAGCTGACTTAGGCTTTGGGGAAGGAGAGCGCAATTAGATTAGCAAACGTGCTATGTTGTCAGGCTGCCTCTCTCTAAACTACAAGGAAGCCAGTAAAAACTGAAGGTGTGCTGCTGCGGCAGTTGCTTCATCTAACAAATGTTGTGCATGTTGTTCAGGTTAGCAATGGTCCGGAGTGGAAAAAACGGTGGGCTCCACCTGAGACAGATTGCATACTACAAACGAACCGGGGAGTATCATCCTACAACGTTATCGAGTGAAAGAAGTGGAATCAGAAGAGCAGCCAAAAAATTTGTTTTCAAAGGTAAAAATATTCTCTCAATCTGCATTGGAAAATGGATTTTTAAGTGAAGATTTGCTGATATTAAAAAAAAAAAAAAAAAAAGCAAAAAGGTGTCTTGCTCTGCAGCATACTCTCTGATCTTTATACACATGCTGTATAAAACAAACACCCCTGCCTATCCCTTGTTAATATATAACAATGTTTGCAGACATAGAAGCTCAATCTGCTTTGGTCCTTAACAGAAAGTATTTACTTTTCCATGTGAAAAGCCAAACCTTGTTTTAGATACTGGGGCAGCACGCAGCAATTGGTATCCATGATTCAAGGACTTCCAAAAGAGAAGTGCTGATCTGCAGCGATAGACGAGGAATGTTTGGCCCAGTCTGGGGCGCTCCGTGCACGGCTGGTCGGAAATGCAAGGATGGCTTTGCCATCTGTTGTGCTTCTGTCACCGTGGAGTCTCCCTGCCCGTCCCTGTTTTATTGTAGCCCTGTGAAGACAGTTGGCAGCGTGTCAGTCTTTGTAGTCAACTCTCCTTTTTCAGTCCCAGCAAACCTTCCAAACTTCCACAGGGAGAAAGTAGAGAGGAATTAAAGGTATGGGTCAGAAAGTGAGGTTGCTCACAGGCAGGCAATGGGTTTCATCTTCTAACATGTATTACTCCCTCTCCCCCCCACCCTCCGCAGCGTTAGCTTGTGTTTCAGTGAGACTTCCTGTAGGAGCATAGTTTGCGTTCTGACTTACTCTGGTTACAGCGTGATTGCCTCGTACCCAGGTTAATAAACTTGTAAACAAATGGTCCTAGGAGAGAAATAATTAAAATATTTGTAAACAAAGAAACTTTATTTTTGCACAAAATAAAAAATGAAGTAGACTTAAAAAAATCCATACGGAATCATGCCCACAGTTTAAGTAAACTAAACAACTCAAAAAGACTAACTGCTAGTATATAGTTTATTGGTATTTTCTTTCTTCTTTCAGAAAATAAGTTGTTCTATGTTGGAAAAGACAGAAAACAAATGCGCTTGGTAATTGTTTCAGATGAAGAGAAGAAGAAGGTGCTTGAGAAATGCCACGAAAATGCTGCAGGCACTCATCATGGCATATCGAGGACACTGACTTTAGTGGAATCTAATTACTACTGGACTTCTGTAACAAACGATGTCAAACAGTGGGTACGGGCTCATAACTACTTCTTATTTTTTTTAATGTAGTCTTTATTATAAACATTTTGCAAGTTTCACAAGATTCATCTCTCTTTTGGGTGACAAAAATACTGAACTCATGCTTTACCTAACATTCGTTTACAGAAGCTCCTGAGGGTCTTAGGGACACAAATCTCCTCAGGGAAAAAGAACAACTCTAAGTATTTGTACGTTTTGAACAGTCTGAACTTCACTGGCTTTTAGTGGGTCATATAGGGGTTTTGAGAACTGTACTCCAGATCAGTGTTTCAAGCTGACATGTACTGTCAGCAAGAGAGGTTTTGAAAATAGTTTCCTTAAGTTATGAGCAAGTAAGCACTTTTTATGTAAGTCACGGATAAATACACAGAATCATGTATTGTGGGTTTGACACTGATACAGCACGCACCTTTACCTCTCAGTAATAAGGGAACACAAGTTTATAATCAAATTTTAAACGGTCTTCTTGTCAATGCGTAGTGCTTCCTCTTTCTTCCTTTTACTGCTTGACCATGCGGCTTGCATATTGCCATACACTGTCCAATGGAGGGGAGTCATTCTGCCTATCAATGTGCAGGGCACATTTGGTCTTTGAGAGGCATTTCTCTTGCATGGCCTCTTAGGTATCTTTGTTAGGATGCAGTCTACCATCCCCAATGCATACAGCTGGCCAAAATGGTGCTTGGCAGGTGCAAAGACAAAACCTGAGTCTCTGCCTTTGAATGAGGTATGTTTGGGAAAGACTATCAAACACATCACTGCTTGGGACGGTTCCTTTTCCTCTTTCATCCAAAGATACGTTGGCACAATCCCTGGGCAGAATCTGATCCCTGAACAAAACGTGTGTAAATGCTGTCCTTCGTGGCCAAGTTATTGTTGCTATCAGACTGTGCATCACATGAAAATTTAGATCCTCTGTGTAACGGTAATCTCATCTGAAAATGAGTCTTTGCTTTCAGTTCAGGCTTGGGCAAAGAGGACCTGTCCTGTATATCACACCTGTCTGTGTGATGCAACAGCAGCTTCTGTGTATACCACCCATGCTGATCAGCCGCAGCATACACAGTAGAACTAAAAGGGGAACGATTAGGACTTTCCTCTTCTGATCCCAGAGTGCTTTGTAAGTCCATTAGTATTTACAGAGGGTAACGGATATAAATTTACGCTGTGGACTTGAAAGAGCACCGTGCTTTCAGCTGTGAACTCCTGTGTGTGTCCTTCTCCTGGCCTTCACTGTTTTTTGGTTGGTTTTATTTTGTTTTTATCCTGGGGCAGAAAAATCTAAGGGTAAAAAATGATTGTAAGAAAAAAAAAATGCTAAAATGAATTTGTGTGGTGTAGCGAAGTCTGACCTGACTTACGGAGGAATAAAGAGGCTTCATATTATTATCCTATCGATTGTTTTAAACGCTCGCCACCACTCTGTATTGAGAGCTTCTTCCCTGGTTTCTGCACTAGGTGTATGCTTGCCAGCATTGCCAAGTGGCAAAGAATACAGCCATCGCAGCACCCACAGCACGCCCTATCAAAGCCGAGGACCCTTGGGCGGCAGTTACTATAGACCTAATAGGACCTTTTAATGCAACCAACAGAAGCCACATGTACATCATTGTGATGACAGATTTGTTCACCAAATGGACTGTTATCTTGCCAGTGCGTGATACTTCAGCAGCTGAAATTGCCAAGGCAATCATAAATGTGTTTTTCTTGTATGGACCGCCTCAAAAAATGCCTATTGATCAAGGGCAGGAGCTTGTTCATCAGGTAAGGCTTTACTTGGATGATTTCTTTCTGTCAAGAAAGGTAGTTTTGCTTCTATTACCTTTACATTTTAGACCATTCTTGGAAAAAAACTGTAGATATGGTACCTGAATCTTTTTTCCCTTTTTAAAAAAACAATTACAGTCAACATGAAAATGACAAACCAATTATTTGTAATTGTAACATTATGTAACATTTCTCAGGGATTTATTCATTGGATGAAGAGTAAATACAAAATAACTTCTCAAAGGTCATAGTCCAGGTTTTGTCACTCGATAGAACTGGCACAGGCTTTCATTCTCCAACGCTTGGCTGTACTTCATCCGTTCATATTATATTGGCCAGTATAATAGACAGACCGATGTCAAAAATACCCTAAGATGTAGTGATTCTGAAGAGCTTTACATTTCTTAATCCTCTCAAAGATGATACATATAGAAGAGACTACAGAGGTGTAAAAGAGGCTCTGATACGGAGGAACTGACAACCTGAGTGGCAGAACTCTGTTTAGAAACCATCAATTGCTGGCTCCTAAGCCATACTTTAACTCTCACTCTTAAATGTGAACTGTTACGTGGGTATATGTATATAAGACTTGTGCTCAATCACCATCTCTGCAATAGAGGAGTGCAGAGCTGTACTGAATTCATTTACTAGAACTGTGATACAGAACAGGAAAACATTCAATAATTATGTTCTTCTTTTATTTTTAAAGATAAACAAAGAACTATTTGCGGTCTTTGGAATGAAACAAATAGTATTGTCTTATCCTCAGACAGATGATGCAAATGAAAGAACATGCAAGACAATCAAAGCTTTCCTTAACAAGTATTGCACAGACCATCCAAATGATTGGGATGAACATTTATCTGCTATTGCCTATGCTTTTAATTTGACTAATGTGGTATGTGAAGGCTCTTCCTCTTTTGATGAGTGTTGGCACTGAAGTCCCCCAAAGTACCCGCGAAGCTGTTTGCCTAATTTTCTTGCCTTTTGCTCCCCACTTACATAGGAGCCAGATCAAAGCACCCCATATTTCCAAATGTTTAATCGTAACCCCTGTGTGGTTGATCCAACAAATGTGTGTGTGGAAGGAGAAGACTGCATGTTTGCCAAAATATTTGAAGCAATTAAAAAAGCCAGTCAAGCGCTGGAGGAAGAGAAAACCTCAGACTGTCAGGTAAATATTATATGTTCAAATGCTATTGGCAAGAAAACTGAAGAGACATAAGGTGGAAAGACTTGAAATGTAAAGTGAAACAAACCTTTTAGACCAGTGAGTTTTTTCTCACTGTGATGCCTGGATCCCAGTGGACATGTGCACATGTGTATGCAGAAGGAGTAAATGAGAAAACAGGAGGTTTTTTTTCCTTTTGCCGGGACATTCACGTTTGACAGAGGTCTGCATATCAAAGGAGGTTTAAAACCATTGCCTGTGGAGTACTGATTTAGAACATGAAGATAAAATCAATTTCTTGAAAACTTTTCAGTTTCATATGCTATGAATTACACGTATCCGAAGACTGTTAACGTTATGCTTCTGCAGTATTAATCAATGCTAGGACAATACGTGGTTGTTCTTAGGAAAAGAAAATGTAATTCATCTGTTTCTTCCTGCAGATAGTGAAAATCACTTCAGATGAACAGAAAGCCAGAAACAAGATCACTGTCAAAAGGAAGCCAAAACAGTTAAATCCCCTTTGCCTTAAAGTTGGGCATGAAGTCCTCAGACAGAGAAAAAACTGGTGGAAGGATGGTCGTTTCCAGTCAGAATGGGTTGGTCCTTGTATTATAGATTATATCACAGATAATGGCTGTGCAATATTAAGAGATGCCACAGGATCCAGGCTGAAAAGACCCATCAAAATGTCTCACCTTAAGCCATACGTAAGAGGGTCCAGTGAACAAGGTATGTGTGTGTATTGTTTGTGTGTGTGTGTGTATATTTAACTTTTCTGTCCTGTCTTGGTATTGGGTGAGGTTATGATAGTGAACAAGCATCACTCACCAGTGTGAATTGCAAGGACACAGGACAATACACAGGACAATACTGTAATCTCATAAGGAGAACAGCGAGTGTGACTAGCTTGAAACCCACGCAGAGCAGAGAACAGAGCTAATGAATCATATTTAAAGTGCTTTAAAAATAGCTTCCATTAAAGTTGCCTCTACCATGCTGTCTCTGAGTCACTTCAGACATTTAGAAAAAAATTAATAGCTCAGTGTCTGGAAGACCTTTGCCACAGAATAAGCTACTATTTGGTTTAGGGTTCCTGGAAAAAAAAAAAAAGAGACCAATTTTCTCCTGCATGGCATGTGTGGTTAAGCTTTGGTTCTTGCAAATGTATAATTAGCACTGGGATGGTCATCTCTTCCACTGTCTCTTAAAACTGGGGGATTTGCAAAGCTAAAACTAATTCTGGAACTTAATGGGAAAAGCCGATCCTGTCTGCCAGTTGTCAGCCTCCATCACGGATTACACAACTAAGACACCAATTTCATGTTATTTCTCCTGGACAACACTCTTAACTGTTAGACAATCATTTTGTGGCTTTCAGTGCTTCATAGAATTGCAGAGCCATAAGGAGAAAGTTAGGTGCATAATTTCATGCATGCAAATAGCACCCCTCATTTCCAGCTATTACAATGACTTTGAAGTGATTCGCAGCATAAACAAGTTCAGTCCAGATATCTTTGTAGGAGCAGAGTCTAATATGTTCATCGCTAACTACTGCAGAGGCTGTAAGTAAACGTAGATTTTCTTCCCCTTTCCTAACAAGTGATTAAAGATTAGTTGTCTGATACCAGCAGAAAGTTCAGTGGATTATAAGTATTTACAAAGCTTAAAATTCTAGATGGATATTTGTACCTGTTTAAATTGTGGAGGGAAGTAAACCAGGTTTTGCCAAAGCAATTATCAGCCATTATCAAATGGCCTAACAGAATTCAAGAAAGAAAGCATTATTTCAGTTGAATAAGAGAAGGAGAACTTGGCAGTGAAGGATTCCTTTTTCATCCAGAAGGGAACATGCATGTATTTGTAACAAAGAACTCTCTATTAGCAAGGGTGGATTTTTTTCTTTTTTTTTTGGTCTATTACTTATTTACTACGTCTGTTACTTAATACTGTGGCCTAACAGCCTGTTGGCTATCCCTTTGCATAACCTTGAATGGGAAGAAAGCATGTGCAGTGCTTTTTGTGAAATGTGAAAAGGTACATCTCAGATGAGGATATTTGTCATGGCCTTGCTTACCAAATTTAAAGGTGTTGTCAGTACTTTGCTTACACATATGATTTTGGAGCAGGGCATCTCACATCTGTTTAATCACACTTTACAAGTATGTGTCTTGGTTTTTTGAACAGTGAGACAAAGCCTGAAAATGCAGTCCTCATTTTTTAGGTAAGAAAGAATGATATGAAGGTAAGAAAGGGCTACTACTAGCAAGATTTTTTTTTGTTTCATAACCTAGTCGAAAGGTGAATCCTGAGGCAATGTACTGATAGAGCTCTCGGTACAGGCATTATCTGCAATAATAACTGACTGTGGGGTTTACCCACAGTCTGGGTAAACCTGGGTTGCTTGCTACCTGTCTAACTCTACAGCTAGGCAGAGGTTCCAGGGCACCTTAAATCATCACACATACATGTCTGAAGCAGCATTTTTGTTGTCTGAATGTGGGTTAATCTGGGTTAGTACTTAATGTTTCAGGAGTGCAAATAGGCAGATTTAGGACACATCCGTTGAGAAACATAGCCAGAGAAGTGCAGAATCTGCTCCACAGTAGCTCCCAGAAAGGTGCCTCTTTGCACCTACATCTCAA